ACTACTACTACTACTACTACTACTACTACTACTACTACTACTACTACCGTGATATCTACACCATACTATCTACACTACCACCGTGCCCATTTTAGTGCCTCAGATCCCAATTCAGTAATAAATCTTTGCTTAGGACGAAGCAGAGCAATCCCTATTGTTTTGATTTGGTTAATTTCGACATCTACATTACAGTATCTCATTTTTATCTACAAATTATTTTTTTTCAGCGAGTTGACTTTATGCGTGTCACTTGTGGCAAAATCATCACTCGTGTTTTGACAAATAAATATTGTTCGACTCGTGTGTGTTCACAGAGCGGAGAAAGAATGGGGCGATGGGATACGTGGTCTGTCTCTGAGCGCTGCGCGTTACGCTCTAATGCGGCTGGAGGAAGGACCCCCTCACACCAAGAACTGGAGGTAAGATACACACACGCAAACACACACTGTGTTGTTTTATTAGATTTCTAATTAACATAGAAATTAACAACATGTCTGTGCGTGTTCAGTCGTTCCGTGGTCACGGCTGTCAAACATCAAGAAGTGTTTGCGAATTAATATTAACACGAGTCATTTGTGCAATTCCTTTTTTTTTTAAGAAGATGTTTAAACTGGGCAATTAGGCTATTTTCTCTCTTTTTTATTTTACTCTTAATTATGTTTACTGCTCTTTTTCTCTCATCATTGTCTTGGTTTTCTCTGCCCTGTGATTCAGTTGTTCTTTTCTCTGTTCTCCTCTCCTTTCAGGCCGCAGCTGCTGGTGCTGGTCAGCACAGATGCAGAGCAAAATGTGGAGCAGCCTCGTCTTCTGTCTCTGACCAACCAGCTGAAGGCCGGCAAAGGTCTAACTATCGTCGGGACCGCTCTAGCAGGCACCTACCTGGCAAACCACGAGCATGCTCAGCGTGCCGAGCAGGCAGGGAGCCTTTCTCATTTTAATGACGATCTGCCAACAAGAGGATTGATCAAATCCTGTTATTCTGTGCATCATGCAAATATCAGTTAATTTTAACTGTTGTTTTTTTTAGGCACTGCGTAAATTGATGGAGACTGAGAAGGTGAAAGGCTTCTGTCAAGTGACTGTGTCGTCAAACCTGCACGATGCTACGTCTCACCTGCTCCAAGCCAGTGGGCTGGGAGGCCTGAAACATAACGCTGTACTGGTGTCGTGGCCACGCAACTGGAAGCAAGCGGACGACCATCAAATATGGAGGAATTTCATTGGTGGGTTTTTGGGAAAGAAATGTATCACATCCAAAAGAAAATGAAACACCAAGGTGTTGGCTGAGCCTAAATTCTGCCTTGGGCAGTTCCTTCATGTAAACTGGTTGGATGATGCTGAAAGGCACCTGCCTTGAAGTGAAAAAGGCCGGTTTTAAATCCATATTTGTGTCCAGCTGGTGTATCTCAACTAGAAAAAGATCTATTTTGTTTAGATTTTTTTTAACTGAACCCGCTTCTGAATCTCTCTGTTGTTGGTGTAAAGTGTTTTGAAACCTAGTAATGCAGCACAATCTTTCAAAGACAAGAAAAAAATGCTGCTGAAGACTAACACAAACTGCTTGTAAAAAGCCAAATTCATCCAAAAAAACATCAGAAAAAAGACAAAACAAAAAAATACCTTACATTCTATGAAGGGATTTGCTATCATCTGCTGCTTCATGACAAGGTTAAATTCAAGATGGCTGCTACAGCCACATCTTGCAAGATTTGTTCATGCTCAAAGTATGTATTGAGGCTGACTTGCAGCTACTGCCACATGGCCTTCACCTCATTATCAGTTATTTTGTGTAAGATATAGCAATTTTTGTGTTTAGAAAGGTTGATTAGCTGTAGTATGCATCTTCAATTGGGTTGAGCCAAAATGTCAGTCAGAATTGATGTACATCCAATTATTACTTTCTAAAAGTTTCAATAAAATCAAAATTTGGCTGAATGATAGTGATTTTTACATTTCAAAATCTGTTGGCAGCATCTTGATTCTGTTGACTACAGTTATAGATGCACACCCAGTGCTTGTTTTCTGACTTTCATTAACACCAATCATCGTGCAGAGAGATTTCAGAGACTCGAGTCAGTACCTCTTTTTATATTTGCAGAGTTGGTCAGAGAAACCACCATAGCTCGCCTCGCTCTGCTTGTACCGAAGAACATCGCAGCCTTCCCATCCAACGGAGAGCGCTTCACAGAGGGTCACATCGACGTGTGGTGGATCGTTCATGATGGAGGCATGCTGATGCTGCTGCCCTTCCTTCTCCGCCAGCACAAGGTACTGTCCAGGAGTCACCACTGCAAAACAGGGCAAACTGCTGCATCACTTGAAACATTAAACACATTAAACATTGCTGTTTAATATACTGTATTATATTACTGTATTTTCCGGCGTATAGGTTGCTCCGGAGTATAAGTCGTGTCAGTCCATAAAAGCATCATGAAGAGGAAAAAAACATACGTGTCGCTTCGGCGTATACGTCGCATTTATTATGCATCACCACTGACCTGTCGTGTTTATTATGCATTTATTTAATGGTCAAAACAGCTTCATTTCGCCTGGGTGGCGCGGCGCCATCCATCCATCCATCCATCGTGGCCGCAGACGCTAGCTCTCCAGTGTTCTTCCGTCTGCACCAGCTGAGTGAAGCGAAAGCACACGGGAGGACTCGCTGTTCTAGTTCTTAGAAATTTAACAAGATTAACACTTAAAAACAATTGTTTGTTTGCTCTGAATTATAGCAAAGGTGCGTCTCAGTTTAACTTTTCCTTAATAAATGCACTTTAATGGTCAAAACAGCTTCATTCCGCCTGGGTGGCTCGGCGCCATCCATCCATCCACCCATCGCGTCCGGCGCCTCTAGCTCTCCAGTGTTCCTCCGCCTGCACCAGCTGAGTGAAGCGAGCGAGCGCGCACGGGAGAACTCGCTGTTGCAGTTCTTAAAAATTTAAAGCATGAGTCAAAAATTGCTATGAATTTGGAAAAAACAAACGTATATAAGTTGCTTCAGCGTATAAATCATAAGACTGACAAATCTATGCAAGAAAGCGTGACTTACGCCGGAAAATACGGTATATTATTATTGTTTAGTGTTTATCTTAGATTCTTGTATACTGATTCTTTTTATATTCTAGCTATTTGTGGGTGTAACTGTGGCCTTGAGTACACAGTTTCTTTCCACCTCATGTTCATGTGATGCAAATGACAATAAAGAACTTTGAAAACTAAGGAAACACTTGCGTCTTCTATGAAAATATAATGGATTTTTTTTCTTATGTCAGCTTTGTAAGCTTAATAGTCTTCGATATTTATAAGACATTTTATTATTTTCTTCAAAGTAAACTTTACAGCATGCACACAAACTGATTTGTCAGATTTCCTGAAACCATGCTGCTGTCCCTTTAGGTCTGGAGGAAATGCAAGATGCGCATCTTCACTGTAGCCCAGATGGACGACAACAGCATCCAGATGAAGAAGGACCTGACCACATTCTTGTATCATCTTCGCATTGATGCCATGGTGGAAGTTGTAGAAATGGTAAGTTTTCTCAACCATAGAACCTCCATTGTGCGAGTAAATTAGATGCATTCTGTTAATCAAGTACATTTCTAAGCACTTTCGTGTCACAACCACTCAGCTGGGGAAATAATTAGAAACTGCAGCAATCCCCCAAACTTGGCCAGTTGCTTCGGTAAACACAACTAGCATTTTTTTCCCCTCACACAGAGAGGAAATGATTGCTGTGCGTTTAACTATTGAAGCATATTAAATTACGTAAGGGAAAGCATGAAATGCAGCGTGTTAAAGTGTCAGAAGGCTTCATCCAGAGCTTGTACAATGATCAAACAGCTGTCTAGAACCTTCCTCCCTGACACTTCTTTAAGCACATGAATTAGCATTTGAAAAATTGTGTTATTTGCCAAAACCATCAGGCTTTGATTAGACTGTGACATTCACTGCTTGAACTTTTCAGGCATGCTGAGGCAGGAGTTTTATAGCTCTCCAATGCTAGTTTGTCATTACACACCAAATCATTTTTCATGAGCGCAGCATCCCGCCGACTTTACGCTCGTAATTTAAGCCTCTTGTTTTCAAGGAAAAAAAAACAGCTGGTGATTAAATTTGTATCAGGGTGTCAAAATATGAGTCAGTAGAGAAGGGGACAATATTACATAAGAAAAATACACACCAAAAAGTATGAACGGCACAAGAATTTTTAAGTGAAATAATCTTTTGGAGGCTGTAGTTTGAAATTTTTTGCACATCGTATAATGTGTCTAAACATCGCTCCATTAATTCTTGTTTGGAGGGTGGCGTACTTCGCTGACTCTCTCTCTCTCCTGCTAAAATGACTTACCCGTACTTTCCGCCATACACATCACACCACCCTATAAGTCGCATCAGTCCAAAAATGTCTAATAAAGTAAGAAAAAACATAAATACGTCGCTCTGCCATATTCAATAAGTTGCATCTATCATGCGTCACCGCTGACCACCCGGAAATGTGGGCCGGTGTTGTGGCAAAAATCGATTGGCTGCCAAATGGCAGACGCGGGAGCGTGCATGGGAGGACTTTAACAATAATTTAACAAGATTAACACTTAAAAACAATTATTTGTTTGCTCAAAATTATAGCAAAGGTGTGTCTGAGTCTAACTTTTCCTTAATAAATGCACTTTGATGGTCAAATCAGCTGCATTTCAAAAGCCGATTCGCAGCTGCGGGAGCGCGCAGAGGGAGCACTCACTCAGCATTTCTTTGAAATTTACCAAGATAACCACCTAAAAACAATTATTTGTTTGCTTGACATTATAGTAAAGGTGTGTCTCAGTTGAACTTTTCCTTAATAAATGCATGTAGATGAACAGATGCTCAGATATATTCATCAATTAACACGGATTCCTCATTTTTCTGGACTGAATAAAACGTGCATTGAATTTAATGAAATGCAAACGTGAGACGTCATTTATCTTTGACCCATCAAAATGAATGCGGTCATTTATTTACAGAATCAAAGTTTAACATCAAACATTTACATTAATTTGGCAAATTATGAAAATAACAACATAAGCAATCAATCAGGAAAAATCATACGGCCATGATTTTTCCGTTGCTTCACCACAGACATTTATGAAAACTGTACAATTATGATCTTTTACCCACACGGCGGTGGATGAGCACTTTACACAGACATTTCTAAATATCTGGAAGAATTTCTATTTGAGAGAGGAGTTTAAAGATGGGAAAGAAGTTTAAAGAAGAGTAAAAGATGAGGTTTGAGGGAGTGTTGAACAGAACGGCACTCTCCGGGCTTTCTTCAGCCTCTTCCTTACAGTACACTTAGGTGGTGAAATCGACTCTTTTACCTGGAGATGTCTCAGGCGAGATTCCGTTTAACGCACCCTTTCAGCGTCTCCGTAGGATGCTGTTACTCGTCCGGAGTAGCGGCGAGATTCTGTCCGCCACAGCTCACCTCGGTGAAGATGTTATAATCCCATGAAACTCGGAAGAGCTCTGTTGTCATGTCAGGATCTTCCCGGCTCACAGAACTGAACAGAGACCCAACTCCCACAGAACTGAACTCTCACAGCCCTCACAGAACTGACAGAACTGAGTAGACCAGGAAGTACCGACATTTTAAAGAGCTCTTTTCCCGGTTCATTCGGGAGTCTCCCCATTGGCCAGAACCGACCAGACGGGGTGTGTTTTGTGACGTAAAAGGTTAGAAGGCAGCAAGAATTGTTATGGAACAGATCAGAAATGTTCTCACAGACAGAGAGAGTTTTGTTTTGGCGAGTTTAAGAAACAGGTGCCAAAACCCCCCTGTTGACGTCTGAGAGGATATAAACAGGACAGTTGTTCCAACGCATGTCTGCTTCGACTCCTGACCCTGGAACGCACACTTTGCTCATTCACTCACAGACAGAAATCAGAAAATGCATAATTACTCTGTAACAGCTTTAACATGAGTTCTAACTTTGCATGAGAATTAAAAATCATTACACAGTTAATAAAATTGATTAGTTCACTGCAACATCTAAAATGGTTTGAACTAAGACACTTTGATTATCAACATTTGTAAAATAGTAATGATAATAAAAAGAGAGTGTTCTTTCACTTGAATTTTCAAGAAAGAAAGTCTCAGGATGGGTGAACCTGTATTTCTGGATTCAAATCAACGAAATGACAGTTCCTGTCCCACAAGGTTCTTAAGGTCAAGAGTTTTGACCTTAGGCTTAGTCTTGACCTCAGATTAAGTTCACTACATGCACTTTAATGGTCAAATCAGCTGCATTTAATCTGGGCGGCGCGGCAAAATGCAGCTGATTTGACGTTTGCTCCAGGAGTTCTGGAGTGAGACAAAGGCGGTCTGTATGGCAAGCCAAGTGTCTCACTAATAGCCACTCTTACCTATTAATGAGACACTTGGCTTGTCATATTAATCGAGGGCCCTCTAGTGGCCGAAAATGGTAGTGTTCAATATTTTCCCTCTCTGAATGAATGAAATTGTTAGATCTCAGCCAAAAATTGGGTTATAAATATCGAAAAAACACATAAATACGTTGCTTTGCTATATAAGTTGTAGGGCATGCTATTTTATGCAAATAAAAACCGCTGCAATTTATACAGTGAAAATTACGGTAATATAATTCATAACTCTGCTGTCCAGGAGGCTAATGCTGCTTAACCAAAACTCTGCATCTCCATCTACTTATACAAGATTAATTATGGAGGTATTTTTTTCCTAAATTAAAAAAAAAAAAAAATCAAGGTAACTTTGGTCTGTGGGGAATGTTTGTTTGTTCGTTGTTTGAAAATGTGAACATTTCATACATAGTGTTAAATAAACATAATGTTTTGTTTCTATTTAGCATGACAGTGATATCTCAGCCTACACGTACGAGAAGACGCTGGTGATGGAACAGCGGTCGCAGATGCTCAAACAGATCAACCTGACCAAGACCGAAAGAGAAAGAGAGGTTTGTTGAAGTTCGTTCATGTCAAAGTTTTGTTTTGTAAATGCGCTCAAAGATACACACTTAAATGCGACGCGACTTGACAGGCCGACTTGGCTTTGCTCGGCTTGATTTGACTTAACATGACACCCAGCCCCCTCTGGACAAAACACATTTCTACGGTTAGATCAGAGCAGTAGGTCACCATATTTATCCTCTCTATTAGAAAGTTGACAACAGCCAGAACAGCGAGCGCTTCGATTCAGTATGTGACAGCATGACAATATTGTGACAGATGAGAAAAATATTTGGAATCCAGTGTCACACCAAGAATCTACCTTGTTCGCTCAACATATAAAATTATTTATTTCCATGTTTATTTCAGAACCTATGAGTCATTGCGCAATTGAACACTGAGTTAATATTCTGGTAATTATAAAGCAATTTCATATTTCTGCATTTACCTCACCTTGATTGTGGGAAATCACAGATCCAGAGCATCACCGATTCATCCCGCGGATCGATTCGCCGTAAGAACCCGGCGGCTGTGACGACCCAGCTGAGTGTTACCGAGGAGCCGCCTGCCGCCAGCAAGGAGGAGAAGCCTGAAGAGGAGGTAGGGTCACCTTTACCAAGAGAGCACAGCTGACATTTGCTTCATTGTAAAGGTTTTTATGGACATACAAAGTGAGCATTCGGCCAACGCTAAGTCTTTTACATTGTTTTTGTTTTATAAGTTAAAAAAGCAGGTAATTTACAATAAAAACAACAAAGCTTATTATTATATAGAAGGAAGCAATTTATGTAAAAAGTGACAGAGGAGGATGTCTCAGAGTTCAACTTTCAAAAACTTATAATGCAGCTTTAGGACTGATACCCAGCCAGTTTCACACATATCAGGAATGTCATCCATGTGACCAGAGTGGCCCATCTGTGAATTAAATTAACAAAGACCTTAACAAACCCTTACTGTGAGGTGTGATAGGTCAATCTGTATATGTATGCGTCTTACCTCAGCTTTATAACTCAAACTCCACACTCCCTGCTCTTTGAATTGAGAAAACTTCTCGGATGAGAAGCGAAACATCTTCTGTTACAAATAAAGTCCAGTTGTTTTTGTCTTGAACTTTTTTGAATTTACCATGTCCTGGATGACTGAGAATCTTCACCAGCGTAAAGCTTCTTATCCCTGCATCTCCTTCCTCTCCTCCCTCAAACTTCGTGGCTCTCTGTGACTGCGTTCCTACATTTCCTCTTCAACCACTGCTCTCTCATGTTGACGTGAATCCACATCCGTCCTCTTTTTCCTCTCGTCTCATAGTCAAAGTCGGCCTCTTCCCCTGTGTCCCCCCCTGCTCAGGTCCAGCTCATCCACGACAACACCACCCCAGCAAGCCCTGCGACCCCATCCACCCTGCTGACCCCTGGAGAGGAGGCTCAGAGCCCCGGGGAGCAGATCCAAAGGACCTGGACTGAGAAGTGTGACGGCGAGACAGCCAAACCTCCTGGAGCAACCACACCAGAGGACATTAAAGACATCTTCAACATGAAGCCGTGAGTGCTTTAGTGTTTAGCTAACTGTTAGCTGTTGGAAAGGGAAACTACGTTCTTGTTCCCAACAAAAATAACTTTTTTTAAATCTAAAATAGCATCATATATTGCAGTGAGGTTACAAGATGTTAGGATTGTAGGAGGGATCAAGTTTGCTTAAATCATTGATCTTAGTTCTGATAATGACGCCTTTCTCTTCTTGTAACGCTGCAGTGAGTGGGAAAACCTGTAAGTACTGAAGTCCTCATGAACCTCATTTCATCCATCCACATCTTAGACTGAGCAAGTCAGGCCCATGGGATGATGAGGATCTTTAAAAATGTGTGTGGATGAGCATCTGCCATTTGTATCAAACCAGAAGTGCTTTGAAATGTCAAATGTCTTGTCTGTAACCTGTATGAATCAGTTTGACCTTCTTTGTCGTTTTGTCTCCTCTCAGGAACCAGTCCAACGTGCGGCGTATGCACACAGCGCTCCGGCTCAATGAAGTCATTCTTAAAAAGTCTTCAGAGGCCAAACTAGTCCTCCTCAACATGCCGGGGGCACCCAGGAACCGGACAGGTGACGAGAACTGTATCCTTCATCAGGACAGAAGTAGGTTTACAGAGCGGACTCGTTAATGTGTGAGTCACGGCGTCGTCTTCCGTTCAAAACACGTCCGATCAGCTGTGACAGCCGTGCCACTCACATTCAGAGCCTGACCACGGTTTGAGTCCCAGAATATAACATGGTTTTGAGCTTGAAAAAAAAAGGCACTTTTAGTTTTTGAATTCCTCAGATCCAAACATTTTTACAAACAGCATTTTTAAAATGTGCACAAAGGCTTGTCTGAAACACTTCCTGTGTTTTACACTCACATCTTGACCTACACTACAGACTAATGCAAAATATCTCCAAATTACTGCTTTACTCTGGACGTATCTATGGGACAATTAACATTTTAAACATGCTGTAAAATTCATTATTCGACCTTTTTCTATGATATTCTTGGTCGTGATAAACGTACCTCTGTACTCAGACACATCTATAGCTCACACTGTATATCAGACATGACGTTCTTTGTAGATATTTGTGATTAAACCATAAAATTTTTTTTTTTTTTTAATCAATAAGGAAACGTTGCAAAAAAACATTTCTACTGCACAGTAGAAATCTGAAGCCCAGTGGCCTTATTGAATGTGAAATTCAATTCAATTCAATTCAGTTTATTTATATAGCACCAAATCACAACAAAGTTGTCTCAGGGCACTTTACAGAAACATTCACATACATAAAAGCCAATAAGTAAAGTTCTCTATCTAAGGAATCCAGCAGACAAGTTGAATCTTGACTTCGTTGCAGTCTCTCATCCTGAGTAAGCACAGTGGCAACAGTGGAAAGGAAAAACTCCCTTTTAAAAGGAAGAAACCTCCAGCAGAACCAGGCTCAGGACAAGCGGCCATCTGCTTTGACCGGCTGGTTGAGAGGACAGGAAGGAGAGACAGATGAACATAGAATGGTAGGTCCAGGTGTAGATCCAGGTGTATCTGAAATACAGTCCGTGATAAATGAACCGCGAAGTAGCGAGGGACTACTGTATTTCTAAACATGTGATTCTTGACCTGCCATTGTGTATCTGTTCTTCCTTCCTGGTCTTCTCAAACCCAGCTGGTCGAAGCAGAATGGCCACTTGTCCTGAGTCTGGTTCTGCTAAAGGTTTCTTCCTCATCAGGGAGTTTTTCCTTTCCACTGTCACCTTCATGTTTGCTCGAGATGAGAGTCTGCGATGAAGTTAAACTCAAAGCAGTCTGCTCCTTAGATAAATAATGTTCTTAACTTACTTTTTACATATGAATGTTTTTGTTCAGTGCCTGAGACGACTTCTGTTGTGACTTGACGCTATATAAATAAACTGAAATGAACTGAATTGAAAAGTGATGATTAAACTCCAGTTCTATTTTGTATAGGCTTTGCCCTTTAAGCTCTTCTCGTTGCATGACGGGATAAAACCCACCAGTGACAGCTCTTAAAGGGCTACGCCTATACTTATAGAATCTGGGGTTACAGTACGTAACCAATGATTCTGCTCCTTGTGTGGCTAAAGCCACCAGACACGACTGTGTTCTGTATTCTCCCTGTAGTTTCTTTAACCCTTCTCTCTCAGATATGGAGTTCCTCGAGGTTCTCACCGAGGGCCTCAATCGTGTCCTCCTGGTCCGTGGAGGTGGCCGCGAGGTTATCACCATTTACTCCTGAAAAAGCAGCCTCCCCCTCCCTCCCTTCCCACTACAACCCACCCCCTTAGACCTGTTCCTCCATCATCTGTACTCTCACCCCTCCATCGTCGCTGCTTCATCTTCAGGTCGCGTAGATTTCTGCGAGATTTCCTTTTCACACCCAACCAGTTCAGCTTTAGCACCTCTCCACCCGCAGCAGCCGGATGAAACCAAAACCTTCTTCACCGTAGTCCAGTAATCTGCTTAGACTACTGCAAACTCACACGTTATGTCGAGATTGAGAGATTACCTTTTTTTTTCTTTGTAATCAGTCTGTGGGTTCTTCGCCGACGTGTGAGAACACACGCACGTTTGTGTCCGTCTTTGTTTCGACTTCTGCATTTTTATTTATTTTTCCACACAAGTAGATCTGGCGTCTGCGCCACACATCTGAGAGCTGTCTGAAACGAGCTCAGCGTAGGACCGGCTCTTCAGCTCCCTCGTGGCGATCGGACAATTTTCACCCCTTATCGTTCTGATGTTCATGACAAAAGCCTCTGCAGCCCACAGTCCACCAGCTGGAGGAAAGACGAGGCTGCAGCTGTTAAGTATGAACTATGAAAAAAAAAACGTGGGTCAAACCGGCAGAAATATGATCTTTAACCTGCTCACAACTTCTCTTGTTCTGTTACTCCCCAACCCCTCACCCATCACACGCACACACTCGTTTCTGCTCATTTCTTTAGTGGCTGTTCGTTTTTATGGCCACTGTTAGTGCCAAAAAAGAAAAGAAAAGAGAAGTTATCAGGCTTGTTTGTTGAGATTGACACATAATTAAACTGTGAATAGTTTCCTAGCAGACGGCTGGGCTGACATCAGAGTGGGGAGACAGTACAAAGAGCCCCCCACCTCCCTGAGATTATCACCGCCAGCACCTCTCGACCCTCGCGTGCGACTCTGTAAATAATGTACAAGCGTTGTTGGTATGAGTGTAGTATTTTTGTGACGAAAACTAAAAAGCTTTTAGCGAGAAGAAAAAAGGGTTCCTTTGCTCGAAAACCTAACACGAAAACGCTGTTTTTAATATATAAATATATATAAATACTTATTTATTTAATGTATTTATTTATTGGCTTATGTCACTATGGTTAACCATCATTGTAACCTCAACAAAGCAAAGCATCTGCACTCTCCATCACTGTGCGCCAAGTGACATTTTGAGGATTTCATAGAGTTGTTTTAAAAAATATATATATTTTTTTTTCCATCAAGAGAGCATATATGTGTTCATGTTTACTCACATTTACACATGACAAAATATGTCGTTTTGATTGTCACTTAAGCTATATTTATATAGTTGTTTTGCCAAATTCACATACAATAAATGTGCCATATCAAAGTATTTTTTCCAAATAGAAATAGTTAATGGAATTCTATTAGTTCTAGGCAGAGGGAACAAAGTGTGCTAATAAAAGCAAACGTATCTGATGTGAAAATCGAAGTGATTCAACTGTGGAGTCACCCTGTAGATAAATAAAGATTGCATGTTCGGCGCTTCATAAAACACTCAGCCGCTGACGTTTCTGCTCAAACTCAGACGAGATGCTGAACATCTATCAGTAATTTGTTTGTAGGGCCTTACAGAAAAATAATCAAAGCGGAGCGGCTTCTGTAGCTACACAAACCTCACTTTGTCCACAAAGTATGAACTCTATGCAGTAGATTCTCCAGTCACATTTTACAACCCCCAGACTGGTGACGATTTGAGCCACACGCCCCCGATTGAACGACTCGTGAATCATGTTTAGGTTTGAAAAGTGCATTTTGGAAGGAATGTGCAATAGCTGAAGAATCTGGACTCACGTGTTCATGTTATTTATTTTTGTACACATATATTTTGTATATGTAGATTTCGTAAGTCCGACACAGTCCTGAATCATCTCACTCTGACCAACGACAGCCGTCACTTTACATTGAACTACTCCGGTTTCTTTTCTCGAAGAAACTATTTTTGGTCATTTGCACTTGTAGTAGAGGTATAAATATAAATAAATTCATATATATATATATATATATATATATATATATATATATATATATATATATACATAGTATATAAAGTATACAAAAGCAAAACAAATTAGTTTCTAGAACTATTAAAAACCGTATTTAACGTTTTTAGTGTTGCTTGAATGTCTGATCATATGTTGTGAATGCTGCTAGTATCTATAGATTTATTTGTACTGTAAATAGAGATGAATTAAAATTTAAAATGAAGTGAATAAGGGTATAGACTTAAACATATCAGTGGAGGCGGTGGTTATCTAACAAGACAAGGCTGTACCTGTATACACGTTATTCCTGGACAGGGTTACCTTTCCGTTTTAATAGAAAACTATTCTGAATATCTTGATGCAATATTATTACAACTGCGGGCAAATCATTCCTGTCCTTCTTCCTTTTCTTTTTCACTGCGCTCTTCATTGTTCGTTATCCCAAAACTGAAGAGAAGCAGCTTCAAGCTAACACAATTTGAATTTCCTTAGAAGTGGCAGAAGCTGCCGTCATGTTTAAATATAAGAATTTTTTGATGTATTTGATAAATGTCACTGCTTGAAAATCTACCTTTGGCATATTTGATGCTTAACGAAAAGCAGCTTCTAGTTTTCAAAGATTTTCCAGTGCCAAATTTACTTATTTTTTCATAAACATGCTTGTCATAGACAAAGGAGTTGCTCGCAGCAGTTTTTAAAGAGCGCAGTTATTTTAGGACTATCTACAGCATCGCCTGCATCATCTGAGCCTTTAGAAATTTATTCAGAAAAAAAAGAAGATATTTGACGTTTATCAGAGATGTTTATTGAAAATGAATTTATTTAATGAAATATACATGTTTTATAATTGCTGTTTGCATGGTACTATGTGGCAATATTTTAGTGGTTTCTATAGCGACGACTTACATGTTCAAGGTGCAGCCCGGTGGGGGAGAAGATGGCCAGCCGCTCGCAAAAAGTTACAGTAAGCAACGTGGCCAAACCTTGAAAACAAGTCTTTTGCAAAAAAATTACTAAAAAAAAAAAACTAACTAAAAATGAAATAATAAAAGAAATCAACAGAAATTGAGTTCACTTTACTTGTTATATTTAAAACGTTCTCGAGTAGTTTTATGTAACGTCATAAAAAGATTTTGTGAACAGATGAGCCTTCGAAAGGGTCATTTCACTTTTGTAAATATATTTATCACTAAAGTCAGAAACACTGTATCACTCTGTTGTCTTTTGTTGTACACTGTTCTAGCACTGTGGACATAGTCTTAGTTTTTGTAAGATCATGTGCAATATTGTTCCCACACTGATTTATTTTCTCATTTATTGTTTTTATACAACAGAAGGTGTCAGCAGTTACTGACCTCATTACAGCTTTGGACAGCAGGTCTTGTTTAACCATGAAGATCTAAGTGTTAGACCTAAATGTGGCTGGGACAGAGCTCTCTGGTATAGTCTGCAGCAGTGGACTGCTGTCTCACAGCGGCCTCTTGTGGCAGAAATAGTGTATTACAGCCAGCTCTTACTGTGACAGTTTCTATTAAATTCATTTCACCCTTACGGTTTTGAACTTATTGGCTTTCCTAGCCATTAGCCTAGCAACATTAGCATGCACAAATGTTTTTTTTTTTTTTCCAAAAAAAAAATAAAGTTATATTTATTGTGCTTGTCACTTCCCACCACCACCCTCCTCATCACATCTGCCCCGACCCCTTGATCCCTGCGACAAAATATCCACCCCAGCTCTATATTTTAAATGTGACTGCAGTATAATTCTGAAAAATGATCAAAGAATATAAAACTTGCGCTTCCAATTCTGGTACGGGCTCTGCTTGCACATGAGGAGACAGACTGCTTAAGAAACCAGCACGTCCCTCTCCCTGCCCCCAGCCACCACCAACCCACCCCCAACTGATCCATGATTTAGATCAGATCCATCACCTGCACAACTGTAGCATGAAGAAGAACCTGCCGGTGATCATTACTCAGTCTCCATCCTTAAATGGATATTAAGGGCTCTGAACACATCTGTTACCGGGTTGAGGACGCTGTCCTGCTGAGACGAACAGAAAACTAATCTCTGATTATTGCAGAGAAGACACACGGTCTGCAGCTCAGACTTGTACCCTTTGTTTGGTGGATCACAGGAAAACTGATGTAAGAGGAAAAACAATGATCACATTTTTCATCCTTTTGGGAGCCAGATGAGAAAAACTTGTGTTTGTCAAACTTTGTCCAAGCAGAGTCCCAATCCAGGTTCTGTTGTGTTACTCAATGCATGCATGCAACTACCCTGAACAAGGTGTGCTGAAAATATATTGAGTGTTTGTGATATACAAGTATTCTGTTTCTATCAGTCTGAAACTTTTTCTTTCTAGTAGTATCCCCCACCCCTTTTTTTTTTTTTTTTTTTTTTGGGACTGGCCTATTGTATCCAAGATTACTATAGAAGATTCTATTTTTCAATGCTTGATCAACAAAGTCCTCTTATCGTGTCAGTTATATACAAATAATTACCAAAGTTTATTTCGGTTAGGTGTGAAAAAAAAAAAGTGCTCCAGTGAATTAGATACAAACTCGGATAAAAAAAAAAACCTCTATCCTTTGAAAACTGCGTAGCAATCCACAAAACCCAACGATGACTACTGGATGTGCCAAAACCCAAAGCTAATTTTCTACAAGCTGTTTCAAAGGTGGCGTTTGTTGCCAAACCAGAACTGTACGTCGACCTTTTCCTCACCAGCTGTGGTTTGTATTTGAAAATACTTTTAAGTGAGCGAAACCTTTGATTCAGCCGCCAAACAACCTGTGAATAAGTAGTTGGACCTTATGAGAAAGGGGTTTTCTTGTTGCAACTTAGCACACAAACTGGAAACAGGAACATGATCCAAGAACTTTACAGAAATTAACATTGTTTCACTATATATATATATATATATATATAGGCATGTCTCCATATTCTGGGCTGTTTCCACTCTTTGTCCTAAGCAAAAATGTAAGGTAGACTTTTCCAGCTACATAACCACGTTTCTCATAAAGCTCCTTCCCAAAATACTTAAAAAGCTTCCTGTAGTCTTTAATTTGAAAGGCAGCACATCCCTCCAGAGGATCCCAATCTCTGACCTGGTTTGATTTAATTCACTGGAATTGTTGAACATTTTGTATGGATGCTTGAAAAACAAAACTGATGTAGATGATTATAATCAATACACACTTGTGTTAAACTTCTCTATTATAAAAAAAAAAAGTTTGTTCATTCTAATCTGTTCATGAGTTTTCCTTAATGCTGTTCCCAGTCTTTTGGTAAAGGTGTAGTGTTTTCCCTTCAGTTCTGTGGGGTGTGGATGTGTCTACACGTGCACTTGTAACTGCTGGGGGCGGGGGTGGTTTGGGGCAAGGGTTGGAAGAGGCAACATGTAAATAAATAAAATACAGCTAGTGTGGAGGTGTTTATTTTCTGTGTCAGTGTAATTTAAATATTCTAAAATTTTAAAAAAAAAAAGACATGTATTATTCTCTATTGTGTGATTCATGGTACATTAAAAAAGGAAAATAATAGTTTTATCCAACATTTCAAATGCTTATATCTATGGCTTCTGGTGATATCCGTTCCATTTTATAGATTTGTCAGCACAAAATGCAATAAACCAATATCATTTTATTACAGCAAGTGTGTCTGGAGTTTTTAATTAAGTCTTATTTGGACAATGTACAACGTACAAATGAAACACAATGCAAAACTATAAAACGCCTAACAGATGACTGGAAAACCAAAAGGTACTTCATAAGCCCATTGCTTAACTGACTTGTAAAAACACAATAAAATTCTGCAGGCAAACATTTGAAAACAGACCATTAGTTGGGTCTGAGTAAGTTATTTAAGTTTACAAACACAATAATGAGAGGAAAAATAAAAACTTCTACAAATTGTCTCTAAAGTTTAACATTACAAAACTTGTAAATCGTTTATTCAGACAAGGATGTGGCGTCTACTTCTATCAGGAGAGCAGAACCGTACATATTTCCATTACAGCTCGTCAGTAGTGACGAGGATACATTGACATGGGTGGGCCCTGGCCCATGTTGGGTGCTGCTCTTGGGGGTGGTTGCTGAGTGGATCCAGAACCTACTAAAGTATTGAGGGATGGTCCACTTTGAATCAGTGTGTCCAAAGCTTTCTGGACACTAGGGTTGTCAAAATTGATCCCTGAAGTTGCCATAGGGGGTCTCTGATCAGCTGAAGGTATTGGCATACGGCCTGGTTGGGAGTTGTAGCTCTGGGATGCAGATGGAGGACCAGACATAGATGGACGAGAGGGGTTTTGAGAAGGACCAAGAGAGCCATAGGGGTGTGGCTGGGGGGCACCAGAAGAAGCAGTTCCACTGCTGCTTCCTTGTGACGGCCCAGAGCTGCTGTTAAACAGACTGAGGATTTTAGCTTGAAGCTCCTGCTGATTATTCGGCTTAGTTGAAGCACTTGCACCAGCTGACAGATGACTTGAGGACGTAGGAGCACGAGTCGATGGAGGAGAGAGTGCTGCAGACAATGGTGGGGCATCGTGATGCACTCCTGCAGAAGCTCCGACGTGGACTGGAGCTACAGAAGAACAAATTATGTTACTATTTGATGCAAATAACTTTGAGGTCTATTTTTTTTTTTAAATGGTTTCAGTCATTGAAAGGTATTTAAGTAAATGTTACTACGGTCACTAAAAGCTTGTTAAACATACATCTGTGCACACACGTACTTCAAGTACAAATGTGTGTAATGCAAACTTGCACTTTATTGACATGGTTACCTGCAACAGAATCTGCTGAGCCTCGAACA